AATCTGCTTAGGTTATTACCAAGTACTTTAATTATATATTTTAATGAAACATAGTGTTCAGTCAAATGGGCTTGACGCTGAGTACCACAAAAAGAGAAGGGAAAGCAAAATAAACTGATGGGTTTTGTCTTTTCATGATGAAGAAAAAAATATATAGAATAAATCCAGTCCTATCCATTTAACTTCAATACAAATTAAAGTGGTTAGCATTGTGTCCAGATTTTTGAAAGACCAACAAAATATCATAATATTTATCATTCGCTAAGTTTTTAAGATATCGGACACTTATTTTAAAAATAAAATATGAGTTTGTCTACGTATTGTATGGTGTGACAGTTTGTCGCTCTTACCCCAGTTTAACACACACACCACATTATCTCATTGCTACGTTCCACTGCATGCTCTTCAAAGTTCTCTATTGGCAGGTGCTTGTTTATTTTTTTATAGATTTATATGACAAAGTTTCAATTTATGTTCTCAGCGCCACATTGTTCACACGTGGCAGATAGGCAAAACTGATTGATGTGTGTTTTTTAAATAGATGGCAAAAATGGCCGACAAACCCGGACGGATATCATTCTCAGCTCTAAAAACCTTGTTGGTAAAATAGCAAATATGCATTTTTAATCTACAATGTTAATCAGTTTCTCGTCTTGTCAGGTGTGAGTTTTGTACATTGAATTGAAATGCAGCAGTGAATGTCAAAATACAGAAATAAACTGTATTCTTTGTGTGCAAATAATGTTCTTACTTTATGTTGGTGGAGTCCTGAATAAAATGATTCCTCCTGTGCCTTTGCCTGCATGTGTGTCTTGTGTTGTTGCCTCACCTGTGTCTGGTTTGAGTCCACAACCTTTTTGCTTCACACATCTATATATTTTAAAGGTCCCCTATTATACTGTTTTTCATCAATATATTATAGGTCTCAGATATACAAAACATGTCTCTGAAGTGTTTGGCTCCAAATACCAAACAAATAATGCATTGTCGCATCCCATAATCCCCTCTGTTTCAGCCCTGTTTCAAAAGTACTGAATCTCTGTCTGTTACTTTAGATCAGGGGTGTCAAACTCAATTTAATCGCGGGCCACTTCAGCATTATGGCTGCACTCAAAGGGCCAGTTGTAACTTTAAGACTATTTAAAAATACATATATAAATATATATATATATATATAAAATAATATCATATTACATTATTGCCTCTGCATTGGATAATTATCACATAGGGTAATAACTTCATAATACGTCTGAAAGCAGAAGTCTGGGGCAAATAATTGCAAGTCTCTTCAGTGAGAATGTCACAAAATGATTTAAAAAGAAAAGCCAAATTCTGGGAAAAAAAGTCAAAATAAAAAAAAGAAGTGACATAAAAAAAGGAAGTGAAATTTAAAAAAAAGAAGTGACATTAAAAAAATAGTCAAATTCAGAGAAAAGGGTACATTCTAAGAAAAAAGCCATATTTAGAAGAAGTAAATCATGTAACCGTAATAAACATAAAATATTCGTTGCAAGCTCTTGTGGGGCCACAGAAAATGAAATCACGGGCCGGATTTGGCCCCCGGGCCTTGAGTTTGACACCCCTGCTTTAGATGAAAAATAAGGTGTCACTCAGGTGATAAGGTGGGGGGTGTTACCTTGGTTGGTTATTAGCTGATGGTTACAAAAGCCAAAAAATCATTATGACATCATAAAGTCACCAAAATCTGATCAGCTCATTTTCAGACAGGTTTTAAACTTTTTATATAAATGGATCAGGACAAAAAGTGAGCAAATATGTTGTACTGAAACTTTCAGAATCTCTTTAGACAGAGGGGACACATGTTTATGTATAACAGACATGAAAAGTGGATTTTGCACAATAGGTGACCTTTAAAATGTATTCATATATGTATACATGATGTTTATGTCACTTTGTGTATGTTAACATCTTATTGAAGGTTATATTGTCCCTTACAAGCAAACATTTAAAATAAATAAATATAGGGTTGCAAGCATGGTTATTAACGGCCAAATGTGGATACGTAAATATTCAATTACAAGACATTTTAGGTGGAAACGAGAGTGTATTAATTATCTCACACCGCAGTGCTGTTTAACCGAAAGTGTGTGGTTAACATAGATTGTGTTTTCCACTTGACATCAGCAAAAAGTGCAGAGACTCTGAACTAAATCTATAACTGCAGAGGTTTCAGAAGTCAACGATGGAAATTCAAGAAATGTTTACAGAGCTAATTTTCCTCCGATTGTCCATCAGTTCTTATTTTAACTTTAGACAGCTCACATGGACACCTGAAGAATGAAAGTATGAGTTATGGATAAATGAAGTGTGAGTGGTTTGACAAAAATGTAACTCCATCTGTATTGTCTTTCAAGGACATGAGCCAATATAAAATACATACAATTATCTTTTTCTACATTTATTTTTCAACAATACTGTAGGTTTTAGAAACGTAAGGAGTCAATAAGTATTAAATCAAGAATAATATTCGTTTTCAAACTAGATAATACAGAGCCGGTCTTGGTTCCGAATACCCAGGTGAGCCTCCCCCACTAACCCAGCAGGCCTCTTTCATGCATCATATGCAAGTTCTGCCTTCGACGAGGCCTGAACCAAAGTCCTGCAGCTGCCCACCCCGTCTGAAGTATTTTTTGGTTGGTATGCCTTTTTATGAATTGTATGCATTTTCTAAGTAAGTACTCAGAGCCACTACAGTGAAACTTTACATGACTCAATAGATCAGTTATGTTCCCTAAATCACTCAATCTTGCTAACAAGTGCAGACCCCCATAATAATTTTTCAGATGAAAAATCATTAACTAACTAACCAACACTAAATATCTGTCATTTACCATCCAGCATGAAAAAACTGTTTTCCGAATATAAATGTGTGATGTTTCTATTCTGAAAAGGAAAACTTTACTGATCAACTAAAAAGTTAGAGATTCTGTTTTTGAAAGCAAAAGCTTTAGCTGACACTGCCCTCTGGTGGCAGTGAGTCACAGTACAGAAGGGAAACCTTAAAGATGTAAGTAAGCCATCCTGGGAACACACCGTCTGATGGGCAGAACTGTGTTCAGGACAACTTATATATTTACTTTAATTAATTGACAGTGCTGTATAATGCGACAATAACAGGGTAAAGATGCGGACTTATACACACACATATATATTTATATAAATATATACAATTTCAGAATCAAACAAGTATGAGAGCACTCTCATAATAATGGCAATGAGTCAAGTTTAGCCTCTTGACGACATACCATTGTATCCTATGTTTACAGTAAGTTATAGTTCACATTTTTTTTCCATTTGAAAAACAGTCGAATATTTCCATGTGTTTTACTTTGAGACAAAACGCCGGCATGAAGCACACCCAGACAAAGTAAGTTGTTGATTTGACATTTATTTGTGTAAAAAGGTTTTGTGCAAATAAAATGTGTCCCACCAGACTGACAGAATTTCCAAACTTTCCAACTAAATCATTGCATAGCATCATTAGTGTAACGATGTTAATCTCTATTCTGATATACGGAGTAAATACTGCCCTCTCTGAGAATAATCAATTTACTCATACCCAACCAAATTAAATATCTAATATCTTATCAATCCAAACTAGAATCCGAACAATCAAAAGAAACTGACAATCAAGTACAGCAACTTATTTCCTCTAAATGCCTTCATTGCCTTTATACATGTAGAAAACAGACAATCATTAGCTACTTCCTACCCATATTTATTGTTTAGTGTTACATCAATCCAAACAAGGAAAACAATCTAAACAAATTGACCATTAAAGGTGGGGTAGGTAAGTTTGAGAAACCGGCTCGAGATACACTTTTTGTTATATTCCATGGAATACTCTTAACATCCTGATAGCAATGAATATCTTAAGTGCTTTGACAAAAAATCCATAAAAAAATGTCACCTGTGGAAGCCGTAGTACTGTAAAAAGCACGACCAAATCATTTAGGCCTACCTGCCTGTCAGCCTTCCATCTGTGCACAAACTTATCTCGTGCCCTCATTGGTCATGTCAATCAATCAATCAATCAATCAATCAATGTTTATTTATATAGCCCAATATCACAAATGTTACATTTGTCTCAGTGGACTTCACAGTTTGTACAGAATATCAGTATGACAATACGACACCCTCTGTCCTTAGACCCTCACATCGTACAAGGAAAAACTTCCGGAGAAAACCCACAGTTTAAAGGGGAAAATGGGAGAAACCTCAGGGAGAGCAACAGAGGAGGGATCCCTCTCCCAGGACGGACAGACGTGCAATAGATGCCGTGTGTAAATTGAAAAGATAATACATTTACAACATAGGTAGTCCAAATGTTTGGAAATGCATGTGTGTATAATAGGAAGATGAATCCACAAGGATATCCATCCAGGACCTATGATCCAGGACCACAGCCACGACTCAAGATCCAGGGCTCGCGATGCAGGACACAGGACCGCAGGATCATCCATGACTCCAGATCCCGGCGTATATAGACACCGAAAAGAAAGAAATTGAAGCTGGGTTAATCGGAACATGAGAGTACACAGGTATAGACAGAGAGCAGGAAGAAGTAAGATGTCCCCCGACAAACTAAGTCTATATCAGCAAAACTAGGGGCTGAATCTAATCAGCCCTAACTATAAGCTTTATCAAAAAGGAAGGTCTTAAGCACACTCTTAAAAACGGATAGGGTGTCTGCCGCCCGAACACAAACTGGAAGCTGATTCCACAAATGTGGAGCTTGATAAGAAAAGGCTCTGGCTCCCATTGTAATTTTAGAGACTCTAGGAACAACCAACAACCCTGCATTCTTGGAACGCAATGCCATAGTAGGACAGTAGGGTATAATGAGTTCTTTAAGGTAAGATGGCGCCTGCCCATTAAGGGCTTTGTAGGCGAGAAGAAGAATCTTAAATTCTATCCTGTGTTCTATAGGGAGCCAGTGTAAGGCAGCCAGAACAGGAGTAATGTGGTCCCTTTTCCTAACTCTGGTTAGTACACGAGCTGCAGCATTTTGAATCAGCTGAAGCGACTTGACTGACTTCTTGGTACACCCTGATAATAAGGAGTTACAATAATCCAGTCTTGATTGTGCGCGTTCGTGTGTGTTGGAGGAGGGGCTCTAAGGAAGTGGCAGATTTGTTCCGGCTGTGTATTTTCAAATTCTAGCGCACTCGAGCTGGTTTCTCCAAAATGATCTACCCCACCTTTAAGTACAAATCAAAACATCTTTCTTTCATTCCCTTTAAATATGCGAAAACAACATTATCTGAGTTTGACTTAGTTACAATCACCTGTCTGGTTCATTTTGTTGACAGCTCCTCATTACTTTCCATCATCCTTTGGCTGGAGGTTGGTGGAAATAAAAGGAGGAGCAGGTAAAATCTTACTGGCGCTGTAGATTGGACAGGCTTTAAAGTCACAGGGCCAGTCTCTCCATGCATACCGCAGAGCAGCTACTTGTTCAGTGGGAGAACACAAGCTGGTAGATATCTGGACAGTGGTCAGACCCCACTGCATGATGGAGATTCATTCTCTGAGCACAGATCTTAAAAAGCGAATATTTATTTATTTAGCAATTATCGGACCAAACATCAGCCTTATATGATGGTATAGCTATTATTTGTTAGCATATTTAATAGAGCCAGCAGTGAATATCGGACATAACACAGACTGTATACGTTGCCAGCCTTACCTCAAAGATGTTTTCAAACGGAGTGACAGAGACTTCTTGGTCGTAGGCTACCTCGAGATAATTTGGAGTGGACAGGATTTGGCTGGGGAAAGGTCCACGAAAGGCCACGTCCTGCTCACCATACGCCACTGCCCTTGCTCCCAATGACATTCTGAAGGCTACATCCTGCTTGTCTTGGGGATGGATCCTAAAACAAACAAAAAATAATTTCCATCATGGGTGAAACCGTTATGAACACGTGTGACCTTATTCCTCATATTCAAACTCTTTCAATTGCCAAACGTATTATGATTATTATTAATATTATTGAATTATCTCTAGAAGGTCAAACCTGATGATGTTTAAAAATAGCATTAACTTTTTCACCTCTTTTCTCAAAATTAGAGTTACTTTTAAATGCAATTCTTGTCAATATCTTCCTGAGGGAGATGCACAGGCCTTGATGTGGTTTTATCTGTTAATCACACCTGTATATTCAATGTAATAGTCCCTTTTTTTTATTACATATTGTATAGGCTATGAGTGCAAAAAAACAGCTACATGAAGGAGTTGTTGTTTATGTGTTTCCATTAGCTAATCAACAATCTATGCAAATCATACAAAGGTATCTCGAATAAGTGTTTAAGCAAAATGATGCTCCCTGGTGTTGCACAGGTTCATATTCTACAAGTTCACGTTAAGACATTTCTTATGGGTTATAGGGAGATGTTTCGTCAGGTAAATCCATAGCCACAGCCATAAAAGTGTTCTGCATCCAGGGATTTGGGACAAAACCTGTATCTGCTGTCTGGTGCCAGCGGATATTCGGAAAGGTGTCACTTTTGGATTCTTTTTTCCAGGTACTCAGCTGGAAGTGCAAATAAATTATGGATTAGTGTTCCCCCTGAAATTATAAAACGCCAGGTTTTTTAATTGTATTTAACAAAAACAAAGGCAAATAAACAATATCTCCCTCAGTATTCATTCAGCAGTAAAGTACTCCTGCGAGTCCATGAACATGAGACTTTTATTGGCGCCGCTGCTGAAATGTCACACACACACACACACACCACACACACACACACCACACACACACACCACACACACACAACACACACACCACACCAACACCCAACACACACACACACACAACAACACACACACACACAACACACACACACACAACACACCACACACACCACCACACAACACACACCACACACACACACACACACACACACACAACACACACACACACACCACAACACACACATAAACACACACCCACACCACACACACAACTACACACACACACACACACACACACACACACACACACACACACACCACACACCTTGTGTTTTGAAGACTGATACATCCGAAGTGGATGAATAAACTTCAAACGCCACATCTCCTCCGTCCATACCTCTGGGAAATGTGAGCTTGAGCTAGCCAGGGGAACGTTGCTAGCGCAGCTAACGTTAACGTTAGTGCTAGCATTATCCACGTCTTTAGGCGCGGCGGCTCTTCTGATGATGTAGTAGGCTACTAGTAGCAGCTTCACTTGTTGCTTCGGTGCTGTAATTATATTCTTGTTAGAAAATAAGTCAAGTAAAAAATGTTTGCCTGCCATTATAGAGCTTTTTCGTTCTGAGGGAAAGAGCTGCCGCAAAATCGGCGGGCGGCGAGCTGGCTCGCCCCCAGCTCGCCTTGGGGTCACGAGCGTGATGACGAATCATAATTCTTTAAGGAAATCGTTTTTATTTTGTATTATAATTACTGTGAAATGTATTATGTTTTTGTCATTATTACAACAAATACACACTTGCAACTGATAAGACTGGCAATGATTTTATATTTATTAGACTATTAAAAGATTAAAAGATCATGCTCCAAATAAGTGGGGGTACGGCGTACCCCCGCGTCCAACGCCCACTACACCACTGATGAAAACCAGTGCTGGAATTGGGCCGGTACTCACCGGTACGCAGTACCGGTGTTGCAGTATAACGTGAGTCATGACAACTGGCGACATTCTATTATTTTCGTCATAGGAATCCGGGGCGTGTACATTGAGGACCCATTGTTGACTTACCATGTCGATCGCCTCGTTTGTCGTTTACGTTCATCTTTTGCTATATCTGCCTTCCTAAGATCACTTTGATGCACATTCAGTACTCGTATGTGAGGTTGTGGGTGAGAGGTAGATATCGTGACGCTTACAGGGAGGTATCGAACATTACAAAGTAGGTGACTGTGTGGATGCCTGTTCAAAATATTGCAAACTTGAATAAATCATTTAAATTATATATTTGTGTCCGACTTTCATTTGTACATCGTTATTAATGTGATCTATAGTAGCTTTGATAGCTGCCCATACCTTCAGACAGCCTAAAAGTAAAACACAAGTCGTTTATTCACAGCCCGAACGCTCATCGACATGACTGGATCACTCATGACAAGTTGTGATCAGCTCCGATTAAATTGTGATATAAATGCTGTAGCTATTCTCCAGGGAGCCCGTTTTTTTAATGAAATACCTGTATCCCTCTCATCACAACAAGACTCTACACCAGGGGTGCCCACACTTTTTGGGCTGGTGAGCTACTTCTGAAATGACCAGCTCACCGAGGTCTACCAACCAAAAATAAAATCCCAAATTGCAAGGGTTGCTGAATAACACGTTTTATTTATACATGGGATAACTACAATAGGGCTGCAACAAACGACTAATTTGATAATCGATTAATCTATCAATTAATGAAACGACTAATCGACTATTCAGACTATTACTGTATGCCTTGCACAATTTCTCAAATGCTCTTATTATCAACTTTTAGATTTAGCTTGAGGCTGTTTTAGGCATGTGGAAACTAACAATGAAGACAATAAAGATGAATACTTGATTCAAAAATACATATATTATTAAATTAACAAATTGTGAACAAAACTAACATTGCTTTTTATCTAAATTAAATAAATAATATTTCACATCAAAAGAAACAACAATGTTTTAACAAATCGTATTAAATAATCTGATGACAGAACTGTAAACAGAATAGCTGAAACTTTAACCAAATAAAGAGTACATCTGTTAACTCTATCACAGTGTTTCTCAAACTTTTTCATACCAAGGACCACTTAACCAATAAAAAAATACTCGCGGACCACCTAACTCCACAAATATCCAAAAACACATTGTTTTTTACAAATCGCCTGAAAATGGTACAAACAAGTGGCCACATGTGTGATGAAGGTGTTGCGCTGGGCTATATCATTCAATTTAAAGTGAAACTTAAGCTCGCTTCATTGCGGAAATATTCCCGTGAGAGTGCGGAAAACTTAAATGTATTTATTTATTTCAAATGTGAAATTTTACCAATATACTCACGGACCACTAGGGGGCGCTCACGGACCACCAGTGGTCCGCGGACCACACTTTGAGGAGCACTGAATCATTGAGTTAACTGCGTGTGTTGCTGCTATTATACATAACACCTGACGTGGAAACGTTACTCGTGGATGGGGCTGCAGAGCTGCTAGAAAGACAGTCGAACCCGGTGCATTCCTCCGTCTGAATGTGGAGCACTTTTGCTAAATGTTTAGACACATTGCTCGTGTTACCGCCCTCACATGCTGAACTCTCTTGGCAACGAGCATTGTCCACCAGCATTGACGGGTAACATATAACCACACCTTGGAGCATATAACCACCAGCATTGACGGGTAACATATAACCACACCTTGGAGCGCTTCTCTCCGCCATCTCCGCAGTGTGTTGCTGCATGTAGCAGCCGCGTGTGTGTAAACTGCCCCGCCCCCTCGCGCACAGACGGGGGAGAGAGATCTCGTCTCGATTGGAAAGATCGAAAATACACCGACATTTGTTTGTCTTTTTGCATGTTAGAAACGAGTTGGCGACACTAAGACTGCGAGATAATATTTGTGTAGCAATAATACATGACCTTTCTCTTTCTCAACTCGCTCCTCGGAGGGAAGTCGCTGTCATATGCCTTGTGAACAGGGCCGTATCCAGAATTTCCTAAATACCGAGGTCCAAACATGCTAGGGGGGTTTGGGGGATACCCCCCGAGATTTTTGGGATTTTCATGATCTAGTTATGGTGCTTTTTAAGTCCTATGGGGGGTCACAAATTGGATAATATATCGATTTCAAACCATGTCAGTGGGCTGACAATGTCAGCATCAATTATTTTGAAAGTGTAATACATAATAAGAATCAGTTGATTGTTACTATTAATGATCTGGACATGCAGAAGAGGCTAAAATGAAGGGGTTATTATGCCTACATTCTTTTGTGTGACTGTACCTGCAGTTCCTCCCTGACTTCCATCACTTTCTCTCTCTCTCTTTCTCTCTGCCTGTCCTGTCTCTTCCTTACCAAAGCTGAGCTTCGACTGACGTAGTCTTTTCATTATATCTGAGTCAGTGTAAAAACAAAACAAAACAATGTTATATCTTCAATGTTTTACTCAAATTGAAATAAAAGAAAAGCATTACATCGTTTGTTAAAAGGTAATCCTTCTGACATTGGATGAATGTAATTAACTGTAGCTCTCTAGCTAGTTTATTCACGCTATTTAAACCAAAGTATAGCCTATAGCTGCAATATAAGTTAGTGTGCATGTTGTCGGACGTCCACTGACTAACGTAGAGCGTTCACACAGGATCTGCTGCTTATATGATGTCCTGATGAACAGAAACACAAGCAGCCCGCTGGACTCAGATCTCTAGATACCTCATCACTCCTCCGCTGCTCCGGTTCAAGTCCGGTCTGCGGTGATTTGTTGATACATGTCGTCTTCTTCTGTTTGCTTTAATCGAGGCTACGTAGTTATGCAGCGCCCCTATCGTCAGTAAATGGAAGTATTACAAAGAACCCCGTTTAGTGTAATTATTTCACAAGTTTTGTTACACAGCTCGAAAAATATTACCGAGGTCCGGACCTCGGTGACCTCAATGGTGGATACGGCCATGCTTGTGAACACTCCGATAATGCCTCTCCACGTTACCTTTCTTTGGCAGAGCGACGCTTGCTTTACAAATAAGGCAAATAACCTTTGAATGTGACATCACAAAAAAATATTCTTCCTCCCATTCTGGGTGGAAGTGGTTTGTCTTTAGCTTCTTGCTCGGTCCCGCACTCATTTTGTTGTTTGTCTCTTGTTTGTCTCTTTAACTTAATTTGAGTTTTCCTGGCACTTGACTGATTTTGTATCGCTTTGCATTCTGGGTTAACAGACTGGAAAGCGATAGGTCGCTTTTTCTGTCAATCAAGTAAACTCCTGAATTAAGTGGCAGGGAGGCCAAGGGAGGAGGGTTCAAAACCTGTTTTGTCTATTTTAACGGAACAGGATTTTTTTTTTTATGAATGACTCGCGATCTACCAGCATTGCCCCCGCGGTCGACCGGTCGCCCGCGGTCGACGTACTGGGCACCTCTGCTCTACACTGTGCAGGAAAAACAATTACATACATGAAAATAACCTTGATGCATGGGAATGAATCACACAAACTATCTTCCGTGGCTATACTGATATGTCACAGTAACGGTAAACTACAGAAAAGTAAGTCCAGCGGGGCACAAGTTGAATACATATAAAACATTTGTACATCGTTCTTAATGTGATGTATAGTAGCTTTGATAGCTGTCCATACCTTCAGACAGCCTAAAAGTAAAACACAAGTTGTTTATTCACAGCCCGAAAGCAGCATCGAGATGACTGGATCATCTGCAGTGTTGGGCAAATTACTTCCAAAATGTAATACAGTACATTACTTATGTTAGCGATGCCATGATCTTAGGGCAGGAATACCGTGAACATAGTTAACGTGACAGAGGAATAAATACACACATACACCATCAGCTGTGCTTCAAACGGAAGTGACACGTTTTATTGCGCATGTCCCTTTTATCACGGGAATACAGGAAGTGATTAGTATAAGAGTATTAAATAAACAGAATTCATATATTACATTTCATAATTCAACACCCCCACTTACTCTTATACTGCACAATTTCTCAACATGAATTCAAATGTAAACACCTTATACACCTGCACAATAACACAGTGTTTGAAACTTCTGGGGTTATTTACATTCCAAACAAATACTTTACAAATGTCTCACTTTTTACCTTTGTTGCAGGCTTAGTGAAAATATCAGCAACCATATCAGCTGTAGGGCAATAGTCAATGGTTATCATGTTATCACTCAGTACAGTTCGAACAAAATGATACTTGACATCCACATGTTTACATCGTTGACGACATACTGGGTTCTTGGATAGAGCAATTGCACCCTGGTTATCTTCAAAGATTTTCACAGGAGTATATTGACCCTCACTATCCATGCTCTCTATTAGCTGCACAAGATACACACTCTCTTGTGCTGTGGCAGCCAGTGCCATGTACTCTGCCTCACATGTCGACAAAGCTACTGTTTGCTGTTTCTTTGATCTCCAAGAAATAACAGGCCCATTGCTAGTTAGACTAAAACAGTACCCTGTTATACTCCGTCTGTCATTTTGGTCTGTTGCCCAATCCGCATCACAGTATGCAACAAGTTTCAGTTTTTCATCTTGTTGTTTAAAACATAGCTCCTGATTAATTGTGCCCTTTAAGTACCTCAATACATGTTTAGCAGTTAACCAGTGTTGTTCTTTTGGCTCTGAAAAATACTGTGACAGTTTACTGACTATCCAACTTAGATCAGGCCGTGTAGATGTCA